ACGTAGAGTGGTAAATTTGTCCTGGAAAAAGATCATAACGTATTTAAAAATCAAATGTAAGTTTATATACTCTAGAGCTCTGGTCTTAGGTACATACAGATTTATCATTGTTACATCTTCCTGTCGAGTTTGTCCTTTTGTCATTATATAATGTCCTTCCTTGTCTCTTATAACCAGTTTGACTTAAAGGTTATTTTGTCTGATGTTAAAATCACCACCGTGGCTCTCCTTGGGTTACTGTTCGCATGGGATATTTTTTTCCGTCCTTTCATTATCCGCGTGTCTGTGTCTTTGGGCCTAAGATGTCTCTTGTAGACGGCATATAGTTGGATCATGTGTTTTTATCCATCCTGCCACTCTCTGCCTTTTTAGAGTGTTTAGTCCATTTACTTTCACAGTAATTACCGATAATAAAGGACTTATTCTGCTGTTTTGTTTTTTATGTGTCTTATATCTTCTCTGTCCTTCATTTCCTCGAAGTACTGCCAACATTTATGTTTTCTTTTAGTGAATCATTTTGATTCCCGTCTCCTTTCCTTTTTTTACTATTAAACTATTTCATTGTGTTTTCAGTGAAAGTTTACACTGCAAATTAGGTTCCCATTTAACTTTTGAGATAGTTGCTTTGTGGTTACCATGAGAATTACATTTAACATCTTACTTTATAACAGCCTAGTTTATATTGATACCGACTTACTTTCGGTAACATACAAAAGTCTATTCCTATATTGTTCCTCCCTCCCTGTTCGTGTTGTTATCAGCTATTATATCTTTATGTATCATGCGCTCTGTTACATAAATTTATACTAATTTTTTTGCGTAGAGCCTGAAGGACATAACAACTATAATTACTAACCAGAAATACATTAAAACTATACTTATATTTGCCATGTAATAACCTTTAATGGAGTTTTTTTTTTCCTCCTCCTCCCTATATATGGCTTCAGGTAATTGTTTTGTGTCTTTTCCTTTCCATCTGAAGGATTCCCTTTAGCATTTCTTATAGAGCTCAGATCAAATGGTAACAAACTCCCTCAGCTTTTATCTGGGAATGTTCTAATTTCACTCTCATTCATGAAGGACAGTTTTGCCAGATATTTTTGGTTGACACTTCTTTTCTTTCAGCACTGTAAATATGTTGTTCCACTGCCTTCTGGTCTCCAAGATTTCTAAAGAGAAATTGGCACTTAATCTTATTGGGGATCATTTGTATGTTACTATTCATTTCTCTCTTGCTGCTTGCAGGATACTCTCTTTAGCTTTAGTTTCTGAGACATTGATTGTAGGATGTTGATCTGTTTGGGTTTCTCCTACTTGGAGTTTGTTGAGCTTCTTGGATTTGTAGATTCATGTCTTTTGTCAGATTTTGAAAGTTCTCGGCCATGATTTCTTCAAATATTCTTTTTGCCCCTTTCTCTCCTTTTGGGATTCCCATAATCGTGTGTTAGTTTGCTTGATGGTGTCTCATATTTCCATTGCTACACTCAGCAGTCTTGAGCCTTCTCTTGTTGCTCTTCATAGTCCATAATTTCAATTACCTTATCCTCTAGTTTGCTGATTCTTCTGCCAGCAAGTCTGTTGTTAAGTCCTTCCACTGAGTTTTTTATTTCTGTTATTGTATCTTTTAGTTCTAATCTTTCTGTTTAGTTTCTTTTTATATTGTGTGTCTCATTGTTTATATTCTTGTTTTGTCTGTGCATCACTTTCCTGATTTCCTTTAATTTTTTGTCAGTGTTTTCATCTAGTTCTTTGAACTCGTTTACTACTGTTGAATTGTATTCTGCATTCTGTTCATTATCTGGGTTTCCATAGAGATGATTTCTTTCCTTTTATCTTTTTTTTTTTTTTTTTTTGAATAGGCCATCATACCCAGTTTCTTCCTGTGCCTTGTGATTTTTTTGTTGAATCCAGGATATTAGGATAGTACAATGTGTCGGCTTTCTCAATATCCCCGTATACTTGGTACTTTTTTGAAAGCGCTAATTTCTGCAAGAAACCCGTAGGCAGGCACAGTCTTCAGACTTTGCTCGTCACTCCTTCCCTTACTCTGTGAGATCTCGTATTCAGGGCAGACCAAGGTTTCAGTCCTTAATTAGCAGCTCCCTGACCAATCAGAAAACACACACTGATCAGTACTCCCTCAAGCAGGCACAGCCTCAGTTCATGCTCTCCACTCCCTTCGTCTCTCTGTGAGGGCTTTGATTGAGGCCAGGGTGAAGTCTCAGTCTTTCAGGTGGCACCCAGACCAGTCAGAATATATACCTGAACAGTCCTCCAGATCTGTCCTGTTTACTGTGGAGCCAGAGATTGGGGCCCCTCTCTGTGTATAGGAGAGATACGGGTTGGCTGGGGCTGGGGCTCAATGGTAACCATCCGTCTGCTGCACCAGGACAATCAGGTTCGGGGACAGTGGAGTGATTTTCCTACTGTTTGAAATTCGTCCGTGTCTTTTTTCAGTTTGCAGCTCCTTGCTGCTGTCTCTTGCCTACCTTGTCAGGGTTCTTACAGGGTTGAGTACAGATTTCTAGTTTCTTTTGATGTTCATGTGGGAGAATTGGGATTCTAGACCTGCTCACGCTGCCATCTTCCCTACACCCTTAATGTAAGTTCTGATAAGAAGGATTATGGAGTCCATCAACACAGATAGTGAGAGATGTACACATTTTCTATGTATTTTAAAAGTCAATCTAACCGTTCTTGGAAACAGAAAAATCGTTTCATGTTTATGTATTTTTTTTAAAAAAGAGCAGCATAGTAGACCATACAATTTATCCCCTAGGTTTAACATTTTAGAAAGCTGTTTACTTTTTAGTTTGAAGTAATGTTTGTTAGGGAATACTACAAAACTCCATGTTAGGTGTAACCATAGATATTGGCACATTAATAGATGCAAAGATGCCTGTGCTTGTTCAGTGCATACTGCTTTGCCAGAGTCTGTCATAATACCTAAATGTTATTTCCCACCTATAACTTGTAAGCTAAGTTCTGTTCATCAAAGAAAGGGATACTAGCCAAAGAAAGAACTTTATGGCATAGTTGGTTATTTTTATTCAACGTGAGATAAAATTGTTCCTGAAATCCCTTGTGTAGTGTTCACTGTTCCCATGAATGGCACCATCACATAACAAGTAATGCAAGCCAGACCTGACCCCTTCCTCTTCCTCATTCTTCATGTTATCCATCACCAAGTCCTACCCATTTTACTCTCTATATTCTGTTGTATCCTTCATTCCACCATACCACCTTTAGTTAGCTCAGGCTACCCTTATCTATCTCTTTGCCTTTGCAGCTCCAGCTTCCTGAGCCATTTCCCTGCATACACCCTTGTTCCCTTTCGGTTTGTTCTTCACTCTGCAACCAGAGAAAGAATCAGAGCTGCATTTTGGAAATATTAACTTAATGCTTAAAGGCTTTCAGCAGCTTCCAGTGATAAAGACCACAACCCCTCCTTGGTCTGCTATACTTGGTATAGTCTTGTCTCCTTGCACGCCTCTCCACCCTTCTCTTACCACTCCCCCCTGTCTGCTGTTGTCTCCACATGTGATGTGCAAAGCTCTACTCAAGTGTTTTACTCTACAGGAGTCTTCCCTGATCACATCCTTACCATATGCTCTTCCAGCACTGTGTTCTTTTTCTTCTTAGAATGTCTTGGAATGAGATCACACTCTTTTTTTTTTTTTTTTGGTGTGATTGTTGATTCCTGCAATAGACCATAAGCACCATGAGAGCAGGGACTATAAGTTTTGTTTTAAATTTTATTGTGCTTTAGGTGAAAGTTTACAGTGCAAATTAGTTTCTCATTCAAAAATTTATACCCAGATTGTTTTGTGACATTGGTTGCAGTCCCTGCAATGTGTCAGCACTCCCCCCTTTTCTCTTTCCACCTCAAGTTCCCCATGTCCGTTCGTCTAGTTCCTGTCCTTTTCTGCCTTCTTTCTTTTGGCCAAGTGTTGCCCATTTGGTCTCATATACTTGATTGAACTAAGAAGGACATTCCTCACGTGTGTTATTGTTTGTTTTATAGTCCTGTCTAATCTTGCTGAAAGGTGGACTTTGGGAGTGGCTTCAGTTCTGAATTAGTAGGGTATCCGGTGACCATAGTCTCGGGGGTTCTTCCAGTCTCTGTCAGACCAGTAAGTCTGGTCTTTTTTTGTGAATTTGAATTTTGTTCTACATTTTTCTCCCTCTCTGTCGGGGACCCCCTATTGTGATCTCTGTTCAGAGTGGTCTGTGGTGGTAGCCGGGTACCATCTAGTTCTTCTGGGCTCAGGCTGGCAGAGGCTGTGGTAGTTGTGGTCCATTAGTCCCTTGAACTAATATTTTCCTTGTGTCTTTGGGTTTTTTTTTTTTTTTCATTTTCCTTTTGCCCCAGACGGGATGGGACCAATAGATGTATCTTAGATGGCCTCTTGCAAGCTTTTAAGACCTCAGATGCTACTCACCAAAATAGAATGTAGAACATTTTCTTTGTGAACTATGTTATGCCAATTGACCAAGATGTCCCCTGAGACTGTGGTCCTCAGCCCAAGTAACTTGGTCCCTCAGAGTTGTTGGATGTGTCTAGGAAGCTTCTATGGCTTTGTCTTGGGGAGACCATAAGTTTTTGCTCACCACTGTGTCCTAAGCATTTACCAGATTGCTTTGTAAAACAGTAGTTGCCTGATAAAAATTTATTGTATGGGTTAATTAAGTGCAATTAGGCATTCGATAATTTTATGCTTTTTGTATATTAACAGATGCAAAGTAGATTTGTTTGTATTAGAGTAAACTGAAATTGGGTGTAGTGAAAGATTGAAATATCTCAGTTTTCTCATGGTCCGTTCGCTTTCGTCATTTTTTATTCTGACCCAGCTGCTAGGAAAAGGATTTGTTTATGAAGATAAAAATAATATATAATGAAGATTTTAAAAAGATAGATTCAACTGTCAAGAACTACTGTATGACCATGCCATTGTACCAGATTTTTTGGATTAAACCTGGAATTTTTTTCCCTTTAACAGGCTCTTGCAGCCAATGCTGGAACAGGATTTGCGGTCGCTGAGCCTCAAATTGCAATGTTTTGTGGGAAGTTAAATATGCACGTGAACATTCAGACTGGGAAATGGGAACCTGACCCAACAGGCACGAAGGGCTGCTTTGAGACAAAAGAAGAAGTTCTTCAGTACTGTCAGGAGGTAAGAGTGTTGCCAGAAAGTTGGACCACTTTTTTTCTGGGCCAGGATTGAACCTATTTTCCTTAGATGGATAGTCTATCAGTCTCTTTTGACCAAGGCCAAGTTGCTAATGACTGGAGCACCAGGCCTTTTGTTTTTAAATGTATGGTCTCAACTGAGAGCTCTCAGTTCTTTCAGGGAGCTTGGCAAGTGCAGCCGAGTTATCTTGGCTTCCCTCTTACTATGGGAAGATGTGAATCAACACAGGTGATGTGCATGGCTGGTTTTCTCCTTGCTAATACAAAGCCACCAGGTTTGTAAATGATGATCTCAGATCTGATTCAACTTAGCTTTTGAGTCAAAACGACCTAGAAAAGGATATGCGATATTTTAACTTGTTACCAATACTGGCATATAGGGGGTGAAGTATTATTATATACTTTCATAAACAGACATTTTCTTAGACTTGTCTCTTAAATGTTTTAGTTCACAAACTCACAGCAGTTCACACTGTCCTACAAATGAACTTGATACCTAATGGATTTTTTTTTTAAGTTGAAAGCTTGCTGGCTTTGTGTGTCTTAAATGAAGATTCCTTTTTTATGAGAATGCATGAAAAATACAGACATGTACTTATCAAAGAAAACTAATAGTTACAGTATCTTTTTACTTGGCCACTTCAGTTGGAACTAGGAGTAGCGGGGAGAAACTTTAGAATTTATGTAGAAGGGTGGAGGCCGAGGAAACTTAGAAACTCATCTTTTGTTGTAAGTAAATGTGCACCTGGAAAATCAGTTTGTTGCGTGTATGTGTATGGTGTGTGTATTTTTGTCTTAACAGATGTATCCAGAGCTACAGATCACAAATGTGATGGAAGCAAACCAGCCGGTCAGTGTTGACAATTGGTGCCGCAGGGACAAAAGACAGTGCAAGAGTCACCTTGTTATACCTTTCAAATGTCTTGGTGAGTATTCCTTTGGGAATTTTGATTACTTTTCTAGAAGTGTGTTCCCTCATTTCCAAAAATGACAGTTTTATTGTGATAAAAAAAAAAAAACACAAAAATTGCCATTTTTGTGGGGTACAGTGTAGTGACATTAATTACATTCAGCATGTTATGCAACCAGTCATCACTGTTTATTTCCAAAATTTTTCCATCAACTCAAACAGAACTCAGTACCCTTTAAGCAGTGACTCCCCACTCCTTCTTTCCCCCAGCCCCTGGTAACCACTAATAAACGTTTATCTCTTTACATTAGTCTGTTCTCGATACTTCATGTAAGTGAGATCATACAACATTCATCCTTTTGTGTCTGACTTATTTCACTCTGCGTGTTTTCAGAGTTCATGCGTGTCATAGCATGCATGAGAAATTCATTTTTCTTTATGGCTGAGGGGAATACCACATTTTGTTTATCCGTCCATCTGTTGCTCGACACTTGGGCTGTTTCCACCTTTTGGCTGTTGTGAATAATGCTGCGGCGGACATTGGTGTACAGATATCTGTCTGAGCCCTTGTTTTGGGTTCCTTCGTTTTTTAGTTTAATATTATCTTGGCTCAAAGTGAAATATTTATATCTGTTGAGAAGTTGAGAGCTGCATGAGTTTATTGGAAAATTCTCTTTTGAGTATTAACTGTTTTCTAGTGTTTATAGTTGACCACTTTTAGATGATTATTAACTCTGCCTCTCCGATCTTTCTGCCTTTTGGGGAGAAGCCTTTTTCATAGTACTGAATAAGAGTGCTACCCTCAGAGCAGTCCAGCTTGGCCCGCACGTCAGTTGTTGGAAACGAACGTGTTACACTGGTGGCAGTGAGTGGCGCTAGAGCAGCCCAGGGCATAGAGACTTCTTTTTTCTTTACTTCATCCCACACACATTCGTAAGGTACCATATCCTATAGTATTAGCCAAACCAAAATTCTGATCGTTTTCAGAAGGAAAAGTAACTCATCGCTGCCTATGGCATTTAGGGATGCCAGGATCATATCCTTTGTCACCTGCTGTTCTGAAAGGTGTGGGGCCTTGTAAGGGTGTTTATGAGTCCGTGCAGCTGATATTAGCATTCAAAGCCAATTTGATTAAAGCTATAATTTTTATTACTCAGAAACAGAGTTGTTGCTTTAAATGCTTAGTTAATGTATATATTCATCCTAACTGCTTATCACCTGACACTGTGGAATTATAGTTACATACCTGTAACCTGCTGGGGTGTCTGCGTGGCACAAATGGTTAATGCATTTAGCTGCTAACCAGAAGGTGGGCAGTTCAAGTCCATCTAGAGGCACCTCGAGGGAAAGGCCTGGCAGTCTGCTTCTCAAATAATCAGCCATTGAAAACTCTGTGGAGCATAGTTCTACTCTGATACACATGGGATCGCCGTGAGTCGGAAGGAATAGACTAGACAGCAACTGGTTTGGTTTTTCTTTTCGCTCATCTGTAACCGGAGTGATTCTGGTGCAGATTTGGTTGGTCACAGAAGCTTAAAAGGGCAAAGCAGTCAATTTTAGATTATCTGTTATAGGGTTAACATAAATATAGCATTAACATAGACATCCTGAGTAGTTCTAAAGCTGTATCTGATTTTAGCCATTAATTTAACTTATTCCCCTACTTCCTCTCATGAAAACGTTTCTTAGAACTGCAAACAGCAGCAAAATTAAATACATTGCTTTTTTCATTCTCACATGAAAGAAGGAGCTATGGCCAAGGAACAGGAAAGATCAGAACCTGAACAACAGAAAGTACTTAAACTATGTAGCAGTTAGCTTTGTTGTGGAAGTATTCAGTGGGGGAAGGGGGAAACTGTGTATGCTTAACACAGTTTATTTAAAAATTGAGCACTTTGCAGTAGTGTGAACCTTGTTAAAAACGTTCTGTGACGTGGTTTAAGGATGTTCCTCCCTTCCCTTTGGCTCTGAGCTTTTGTGTGTATGCGAGTCCATTGGTTCTCTAAAATTCTCAACTGTAAGGGAACTAGAGCTTGTTCTTGAGTGTTTGTAGACAGTAGGTAGTACTTGAAATCAGTTCTTCCATTTCTGAGGGTTTCTCCTTTCACATCATTTCCCCTAAAGACTTTTCTTCTCCTCTTGTATGTTCTCTGTCACTTGATGGCTCCATCCCACCTTCTCCCACCCCCACCTCCTACCCCATATCTAAGCTTGAGGCCTGGGAGATCTTTTTGGTTCCACTGTTTCTTATCTTGCCACATCCAGTCCATTTTCAGACCATCCTGATTTTTATCCACAGTTCCCCATCTGTGCACTGAGGCACCCCAGGGCCTTGCAGCAAACTCATAGGGGCGTTATGGGGTATTTCTGGCTTTCAAGGGAAATATAGTGACATCTGTCAGACATCCTGCAGACTACTCGCTGGAGGCTGTTCAGTTTCAGTATTATTTCACTCTGTTCCTTTCGATGACCTCTTGTCATTGCAATGCTGGGTTTTCAGCGGTTCCTGTAATCAAATCAGTAGAAGAGGAAGTGAGGATGGTGGTATTCAGTCTGATTGCAGGGACAGAGAAGTTGTGCCTTTCCAAAGGCACTAGCTGTTCGCACACAGATACTTAATGAGTTATTTGAAACTGGCTGCTTAACTTTTAGATATTTATGTTTTTTTGGCCATGTTACCGAGACGTTGGGGTGCTGTAAACCGAGGCGGTTTGGGACCCTCTGGCGCACACCCTCCTCCCCACCTGAGTACCACTGCCCTAGCCGAGCCTTCCGTCGTTCTCTGCCTGGGCCTCGACAGCAGCCTCCACGCATGCTTCTCTCGGTTCTGTCATCCATGGTGCTGCCTGGGTGATCTAAAATGAAGACCTAATTATGTCTCTCCTCTGCGTATTCCTGTAGGAGTTCTTTGCCTAAAAAATAATGTTTAAGCTCCTTACCATGGCTTAAAAACGCTCCATAATCTGCCCTTGTTTAACTCTGTGCTCTTCTCTTCCGCTCTCTACTTCGCACTTCATACGTCATCATCATTGAACGCCTTGTGGTTCCTGGCCGCGTCATACTGTCCAGTTCTTGTTGGAATGGATTTCTTCTTTGTTTGGGTTGTTCTTCCTCTAAGACGTATCTCAGAGGATGCCTCGTTTAAAGGCATCTTCTCCTTCTAGTCTTGTTTTCTATCCCGACACCCAGATTTCTTAAGTATTCCTTGCTTCTATCATTGCACCTGTCACACTGTATAATACTTACCGATTCATATATCTTTCTCCAGCTAGATTGTAAACACCGTAAAATCAGGAGCCCTGTTTTAGTCTTCTTTGTGCTCTAGCACCATGGCAGTGTTTGAAACATAGAATATATTATGTTAATAATTACAAGAACCCTACTATAGTTGGTACACAACAAAAATTTTATTTTACTGCTTTATTTTCCAAAAGTTATAGTTTAGATTTTTCAGTGTGTTATAGAATCAAACATGAAATGATTAACTGTCATTAACTAAATGCCTAAAAGACAAATTGACCATAAGCTATTCCACATCTTCTTTGCTTTGTGGTCACTAAAAGCATTATACAGTCTTCATGTGATTTAATTCAGACAGTTATTCGTGTTTACCCAGCATCCATTTGGACAATTTCTTAACCAGTCCGTAGAGCTTTCCACGAGTGTTTTTAAATAGGTACACTTGTCTAAGCCTAAGGGACCAGGTGACTGGAGTTTAAGGGAGGCAACCCATTCCCATTGCTGCCGAATGGATTCCAACTCTTAGTGACCTATAGGACAGAGTAGAGCTGCCCCAAAGGGTTTCCAAGGCTGTAAATCTTTATGGAAGCAGACCGCCACATCTTTCTCCCATGGAGCAGCTGGTAGGTTCGAACCACTGACCTTTTGGTTAGCAACCAAACCCTTAACCACTGCGCCTTAGTTGGAATGAAATATTGCCAGGTCTTCCTCGTCATCATTTAAGAAGCAGCAGCTTTTAATGTCAGTTATCTCCTTTGCCTCTCCTACATGTACACCACGCAGGTGGAACTGACATGGAATTAAAAACCAGTAACTTAAAAATAATTTCAAATTCACAAAATGGGGTTACAAAAATAGTACAGAAAGCTCCTGTATATCCTTTACTCAGATTTCAGATTCTCCAACAATTAACCTTAGACCATTCTCCCTCCCTTATCGCCCCCCCCGCACACACACTCACTGTTTCTCTCTGTGTCTATCTGTTCTCTGGCTGTCTGTCTGTGTCTCTCTACTGAGTTTTTTCCTGAATCATTTAATAGTACTTTGCAGATATATTACCTTTATCTCTTAATATTTCAGTATATATTTTCTAAAAATAAGGACATTTTCATATGTGACTGTCTCAGTCATCTAGTGCTGCTCTAACAGAAACACCACAAGTGGATGACTTGAACAAAGAGAAGTTTATTTCCTCACAGTAAAGTAGGCTTAAAGTCCAAATTCAGAGCGCCAGCTCCAGGGGAGGGCTTTCTGTCTCTGTTGGCTTTCTCATCAATCCTCCGCTGGACTAGGAGTTTCTCTGCACAGGGACCCTGGGTCCAAAGAACACGGTGTGCTCCCGGCACTGCTTTCTTGGTGGTGTGAGGTCCCCAATTCTCTGCTTCCTTCCCTTTCCTTTTATCTCTTGTAAGATAAGAGGCGGTGCAGGCCACACCTCAGGGAAACTGCCTTTACTTTGGATCAGGGATGTGACATTTGTAAGGGTGTTGCAATCCCACCCTAATCCTATTTAACATAAAATCACAATCATAAAATGGAGGACAACCACATAATACTGAGAATCATAGCCTAGCCAAATTGATGCCCACATTTCTGGGGGGACATAATTCAGTCCATGACAGTGACTGTAGCACGGCCATCAAAATCAGGAAAACAGCACTGATGGGACATCTGAGCTACAGACTCTGATTCTGCTTTTGCCTGTTATTCCAGCAATGGCCAGAATCCCGTCAGGATCACATACTGCATTTAATTATCTCTTCAGTCTTTAATTGT